CAACCTCCCTCCACCCTGATGGCCCCAATCGCCAGCCAGGCGGAGGGACCCCCACCCTGTGCACGAATTCGTGCACCGGGCCTCTAGTTGCTACATATAAGGAGGATGACTTTGCAATTTATCTTCCAAACTGAAACACCCTGAGCCCTGCTGTTAATAAACTAACCGGGAGCAGCAGATGCAAAGCCTGAAGTCACCAAATTGCAAAGTCTGCTTCCCTACCCTGCAGACCCTGGCTGAGCCTTCGGGGTGTGCAAACCAAGGCCGAGAAAACACCAATTTTTGAACGGGCAGCTGATCTTATTTTGGTGTCGGAGGAAAAACAGCGGATACCCCAAGCTCTTCCCATGGCTGCCCAGGAGTCCCACCTTGGTCCTATCTAGGCCCAAAAACACTCTGAGGAAGAAGTCAAACCCGTCCCTCCGTGCTGCCCCTCGGTGCCGGGTTACTCGTGAAACTGCATTGGAATCGGGATTCCCCCGACCTTAAAGCCACCGGTGCCCTGGGTCCTATTTCTTTTCCTTTCTGTCTATGTTTGCAACCTGTTCTGTTGTTGCTGGAGAGCTCCTACCCCAACAATGAGCTGTGTCACTCAGGCTGCCCCACTGTATTCAGTGAGGTTTGGTTCTACATTAAAAATGGGTTTTTTAAAAATATTCCTTTATTAACTTCAGAGAAGAAGGGAGAGGGAAAGAGAGACAGAAACATCAATAATGAGAGAGAATCACGGATCGGCTGCCTCCTGCACGCCCCCCACTGGGGACCAAGCCCGCACGCAGGCATGTGCCCTTGACCGGAATCGAACCTGGGACCCTTCAGTCCGCAGGCCGATGCTCTATCCACCGAGCCAAACCAGTTAGGGCTCAACATTAAAATGTTGAGCCTGGCCGTGTAGCTCAGTGTCGACCTAGGAACCAGGAGGTCACGGTTCGATTCCCGGTCAGGGCACAGGCCCGGGGTGCAGGCTTGATCCCCAATGTGGGGCATGCAGGAGGCAGCCGATCCAGGATTCTCTCTCATCATGGATGTTTCTCTCTCTCCCCCTTCCTCTCTGAAATCAATCAAATGATATTGTTAAGACTTTGATAGCATTGCTTTCTTGGTCCTCCCCGCTTCATTTCTCAGAGCAACTCCCGGACTGAGCCTTCCTTTACTTTCTGCCACTGGTCGTTCACGCTACAGACTGGGCACCTGCCATGTGCCAGGCGCTGGACTTGGCACGTAAGAAATACCAGGGCTCTAGCCCTTCTGGGGAGTCGAGTTCAGAGAGGGCAACAGACTCGCAAGCGTCACACCAGCGAGGAGCCCCGGTCTCACCATTGCGACAGTGAGCGCGTGGAGTATGGGACCTACCACAGAGATAAGGCAGCTCACCGTCCGTCCGCTGGTCACTCGGCAGGGTCACGTGACCCATTCTGACCCAAGAGATCAGGTGGGATGAGGTGATGGGCCGCCTGGGATTCTCAGTCTTCCCCCCCCCCTTCTGTTTCTCCCCCAGGGCCTGTGTTCTGGATGCTTCTGCTGAATGGTGTGGAGGGTCCTTGCATGATGTGGAGCAGACCTTTTGACCTGGGTTGGACTTGACACGTGAGCGAAAGGTAAATTCATTGTTAAGCCGCTAAGATCTGAGCGTTGTTGCTGT